ATATTACTGCTCAAATCATAACGACTGGGATATCCCTGATCAATTTATTTAGATGAGTTGTAAAGAGCCGTGATAGACTTTAGTAACCAAGAATTTGGTATTCACTACGTCAGCCAATAAATATGTATTGGAGAGGGAGGTGAGATGACTTAGCCCTTGCATGGAGCCTCGCAACCTGAATTGAACCATGTAGGTCCAACCCACAGTTGTCCTCTCTTTTCCACATGTTTGCCAGAGAATACGTGCCAGGGCACATGCACACTCACATGTCTGCATGTACACACACACGTGCGCATGCACACACACACACAAACCACTAAGTGTAATGAAAAATGTAATACGTAATGTTTTGCTTCCCTGGAGGATAAGCAAATATTACTAGTGAGTGTGGCAATTGCACACGATCTAACGACAGCATCTCCATGTAACTTTGCTGTTCTCTATTCACAGCAACACAGGTAGGAACTAGAATTAAATATTCAAAGGGGGGCACTTAAATATTTCAGATACACAGCTTATTTTAAAGGGAAATTTGAGTCTACAGTATTTGTAAGTGTATGGATCCTCAAAGAACTTCAGACGCTTTAAAGATCTTTCGTCTCCTTAAAGATTAAATCGGATCTTTACAAGATGTAAGAATGAAGAAGTACCATTCTCTCCCAAGTTCATGAGTAATATTCAAACATCATGTGAGTTTCCCTAAGTGGCTAGAACACATGACTCAGAATCACCCCAAAGAGTTATTTAGACACTATTTGCCGAGCCCCAGCTCCAGAGTCTGATTCGGCAGCAGCTTTCTGAGGTGGGACACAAAGCTACACAAGCTGATGGGTCATTGGTGCTGCTGATACAAGAGTCGTAGTGTGAGACCTATTTTGAAAGACGAGAGCCAGGCTATTCCAAATTCGCATTATTGTACAATCTTTTGCATCCGTTATAATCTAGAAGAAAATTCTTAATTTCCTTATAATCAGGTGACAAAAATATATACAATTATTCATAGTTATAGCCATGACATGCTTTAAATGGGCCTTTTTAAAATAATCTTACATTAGAATTGGTATAATGTGGTGCTGAAAATATGGCTCCCGGGTAATAGCACGGGCTGCACAAGCTTAAGGACCTGAGTTCAAATCCCAAGTACCCACATAAAATTCCAGGCATGGCTGTGTGAATATGTAACCCCAATATTTTAAGGGCAGTGACAGGAGCATTTCTGGATTTGCCACTGCCAACATAGTTCCCAATTCTGTGAGAGACCTTACTTCAAGGGAATAATCAGAGTTACATAGCAGAACATTCAAAATCTTCCTCCAGCATCCCCATGTGCACACACCACACACACACACACACACACACACACACACACACACACAAACAAACAAAAAATTTAATTAAAAGAATTGGTACAATAGGAAATTACAGAGATTTTTTTAAACTTAAAAAGGTGGCAAAAACTCATATATTTTGATTTCTGCTCATAACACCATTATAATTTAATAATTAAATAATTGTTTATAGAATGTCTCTGTTCCCTACTGCATTTTCTTCATTTTTCCATAAAAGTAAACACTGTCCCATACATTTCACTACTACATCATTTTGCTGAGAACAATGTCTAGCACATAAGTATTTTTAAATAATTGTTTATGATTATAAATAAAAATTATTAAACATTTATTAATATTAATGTTTACAAACTTACATTTAAACTCTGGAAACTGTAAAACTGTGATCATCCGTTGGACAACGTTTTTCTGATCAGACCACAAGATGTCACCCTAAGCCTAACATCTAAAACATAGTTTCTAGCATAGTCGCTATAAACTGACTTCCAATCTACTAAAATTCAGTATCTTTCTTCTATTGAAACCATATCATTGGAGAGATCGTCAGCAAGTACATTTACAATTTAAACACACGTGAAGTCTTTTCAAGATTAAGTTTTATAAATTCCTCTTTGTAGATGTTTAACCACAGGAACCCGCATACACAAACAATGAAAGTGTCCTCCAAACGCATTGTGCTTGGGAGTGACAGGTATAGGTAGGCTACTGTGCTTCTCCCAAGCACTGCATGTAACTAAGTAGATAAACAAAGGATGGAGTGGAGGTGTTTAGTGGAAAATAAGTGCTTATCGTTGGCTACTTATTTTTCTATCAAAATATTAAGAATACTTCCTCGAAAAATATAAGAACATCTGAGTTATGTATATAAATGCAAAACATGTGTGTATCATATGTAAATATGCCATGTTCTTGCTTGTTAGCGAATGATCACTGCTAACATCTGAAGTACTTTATTCCACCATGAGCTACTGATAATGAGGAATCAAAGTAAATAACAAAGGAACTGGAGACGTAAGAGAGGCCATCAACCGTGTACCATGCTCCAGGTGGGCCCTGCTGTTTACCAGCACGAAAAGCCCGTCTTACCAGCGGATTTTAGATTCTTTAGTTACTCAAAAGAAAACATTCTAAAATGTGTATTATCTTCACAATCAGATAAAATTATGGTTTAAGAATTAGAAAAACATTATTAATGCTTTGCGGGGGATACTGTAGAGCAAGTGATGAAGGACTACAAAAGTAATTATTTCTTTTTTATTTATTTATTAAAGATTTCTGTCTCTTCCCCACCGCCGCCTCCCCTTTCCCTCTCCCCCAATCAAGTCCCCCTCCCTCGTCAGCCCAAAGAGCAATCAGGGTTCCCTGCCCTGTGGGAAGTCCAAGGACCACCCACCGCCATCTAGAATGACTTTTTCGTGTGCTCAGAAAGGGTTTGGTTCCCTGGTCACGTGTAACTATAGCAGCAGCGTCCTCAGGAAAATGTTTCATTCCATTAACTGTTGGTGCGGCTTTTGGCATTATGAGTCTGTTTGTGAAGGTAGCTAGGATTTACTCAAGGAATTATTGCAATGAACTGGCTCTACAAATATCAGACCAATTGGTAAAGGCACAATCTTACATTATTTCTAACAAAAAGGGGTGCAGGGTAGGAGGGAAAATCAAGCTATAGACAGTAAACCAATATCTTACTTATCAATGGCTGCCTATCTATGTTTTTATAAAGATCCGAATCCTCTTCAGGACACATTATAGAAAACGCACAGTGAGACAGTTTGCAATAATAAGTTAATGATCAATACTTCCACATAAAATTCAACAGAAAATTGTGTCTGCTGTATAATGCCCATATGTATTTAGAGTTAACCCCAACTGACATGAAAGGGCCAGCCAGAGTAGCACGGTGTGCCGATTATTACATAACAGCATTTATTAGAGAAAGTCAAGCCACAGTATAGGCTCTCAGCCAAGATATTTACCGCTCACTTAAAATAATGGGGAATGCAGTTGTTAGTCACTCATCCAAGTAATGGTGCTACCAAATGATGGCATGTTCTAAACATGCAGGCTTATCTAAGCCACCTGACGGTATTATTCCGAAGCCAGTCCCCAAAAGCTCAAGCTCCCCAGAGACAGCCAGTCTCAACTAAACATTCATCTGAATGAATTTAGATGCACTGCCATTTGGTTAATGGCCTTTATGAATCATCAACTAAATGATACTATTAATACTTAATTCAGAATCCAGAGGTTTAAAATGCTCTGTAAATACTATTCTCTAATGGCTCTGTTTATTTAAATTCTGTGAGGCTCCGTTTAGAGCTGCTTTTATTCAATACTAGCTGAGATGATTACATTCACTTCTGCATTAATCCTTGCCAGCCACAATAGATGAAAGGAATTATTTTTCCCACAGGTAAGATAATTTTATGAAGCTTTTTTTTTTAAATATTTATTTATTTATTATGTATACAATATTCTGTCTGTGTGTATGTCTGCAGGCCAGAAGAGGGCACCAGGCCTCATTCCAGATGGTTGTGAGCCACCATGTGGTTGCTGGGAATTGAACTCAGGACCTCTGGAAGAGCAGTCAGTGCTCTTAACCTCTGAGCCATCTCTCCAGCCCCTTTTATGAAGCTTTTTAACTTCTATTTATAGTCAATAAATTGATTTTCAACTCTTTAAAACTTAATATTTTAAATTATAATGAAACTATAAACGTAGGGGTTTTGTCATTCAGTATATTCATGGTTAAACATAAATAACATATTAATAAAACAGAAACTATTTTAACACCAAGCTTCACAGGCTCTTGTAGTTAGATCTTCTTTCAATACATGCTAGCATTTAAATGTGACGAAAGGTCTAGCTGACACACACATTTCTTTTAAATGTATTATGCTCTTGCTTAGCACATGCAAGTGTTGAGCTCAGTTACTCAAGCAAGAAAACAAATAAGAAGAAAATAAAGTCTTCTGTCTAATGGAGCTGTTTTAATGTTCAGTTTGTTTTTGAGAGAAATATTGATTGATTGATTGATTTTCCTTGTTACTTTTTTTTAAAAATGGTCAATTTAAAGATATGTGAATAAATGTGAAAGATATATAAAGCCAAAAATAAAAAAGATATATAAAACCATCTATTAATAAACCACAGCCTTGACTTTCTTCATAATCGTTAAGGAGAACGATAAGATTATCTAATCATGTTCATGACAGATTGAAGAGCACTGAGTTTTCATCAGTAACCCTTTCAACTCTGGATCTAAATTTTCCTAGAAGAAGCAAAAGAGACTAAGGGTTTCCCTTTCACTTTGCTCTGAGAAGGCCAGCAGACTCACTGTGAGCACGGAGTCACACATTTGGTGCTGTACCCAACTCTGCGGCAAACTCAGGTTCTTACCTAGGTACATTTTTCTTCCCACACAAAATAGTCCTTCAATATTGATATTTTTCAATAATCTATCCCTCATTTACATTTTACAATTGTCTTTTAAGTAAGAATAAGGGGAGGAGGATCTGCCCTTTGAGTAATAAGGAAAATTATCACAGATTTTGTGTGTGTGTGTGTGAAACTTAGCTATCTAGGACATTATTCAAGCAATTTAGCCTGATTCTGGCGATTGAGACTGTAAGTAATTTTTGTAATACATACCCAGCAAGGCTTGAAATAAGCTGCTCTTAAAAACACTCATTACCCTTTGGACAGCATTTTTCAACAGCTGCTCCTCGGGTTTTCTCAATTTTTTGCAGTAGTCTTCCAGTAACGACAATGCTCGGTCAGTATCTGAAAGACACAATTTTTAAAGTCTACCATGTGGTCCCAGAGAAGCCATTGATCAAACTCGTCTATGCTATAGCTGTGCTCCTGATTTCGTGACAGAAATAACTCAGCGAGTGATCACTACTCCAGAACTGCCCAGTGAAATGGATAGCTGCATGCAGCGCGGTTTCCTTACAGTCTTGTCTTCCCAAAGAATCTGCAACTGTGCAACAACACGAACCAAAAATCTGCTGCTGGCTAGATGTTCACATAGTAAATGCGACTCCATTTAAATTGATGACTGCCTAAAATAACATTAAGCATCCTTTCTGATCTGTGAACTTACAGCCCACAATTTCTGCCTTATTTTCCATTTCCATGCCTTTTGAATGCACACAGTGCCCAAATCATACTTACTTTCCCTGCCCACTTCCCTCTACACACACACACACACACACACACACACACACAATTTCACTACTCCCTGTACTACCATTGCCTCGCCCCAGAAACAGTGCTCCATTGAAAGGGCTATCACCTGTGATTGTTGTAGTGGTGTTGGGCCACCAAGACACCAGGTGGAAGCTACTAACAGTGTGTGCCTTAGTTCTGCCCACTTTTAGATTGCTCTTGGTGGACTGTGGGCTCGGGATATAATATGGCTCAACGACAGTGGTGGCTACAGGTGTAACCTAGGACCCAGAGACTGACCCATCTACAGTGACTCTGCCCAAAACCAGATAGAATCAGCAGTGCAAGGCCGCAGTAAGTGCAAATGAGGAACCCAGTCCTACCCTGGCCCCAAGAGAGACTCTTGTGAGGACAGAGTACACTTAAAGACCGGTACAGTGACACAACCCTGTAATCTCGGCCCTCAAGAAGCAAAGAGAGGAGGACAGAGGATGGAAAACATAAGCTAACCTGAGCTTCACTGCAAAATCCTGCCTCAATATACCACGGATTGAGGATATGGCTCAGTAGCAGAATGCATGCCTAGCTCAAGGCTTAATTCTCCCTAGCATTGTAAAGAGTAAGAATATGACAATGGTGTCTTAGACACAAACTTGGGGCCGATTGCCCTCTAGACTGAAATGGCAACATTGCCAATGGTAACTTCCTAGCAAATTTCAAATTGGACACCATCCAGTGCTGCAATAGTGGAGGTGACTATAGACTCCGAGAAAATAAGCAACCCCTATTTAGAATGTCTGGAGATTCACAGGAGGAGGACTAGACTAAACAGCTCATCCTCTTATGCCAACATGATATCTATGCCAATGAGCTTCAGGAACCTTCAGGAAACCATCACCCAACAAAACATTCAAAATAAGGTGCCAGAAACAGACCAGGCAGTACTCACTACGGGAGAATTCTGAGACAGCATATTCATGACAGTACCTTTAAGAAAAGTCAATGAAATTGAAGACAAAAAAGAGAAATGTTGAAATAGTCTAAGAGAAACTTAGAGATAAAAGCAATATAAACATAAATATTGAGACAAAAATACACTAAAGAATTTTTTTTTTAGAAATGTGAAAGAAGACATCAACAGAAGCCTAAATGGGACAGAAGAAACAACCAAGGCCAGTGAGAAGATCGTGACAAAGTGTCTGCCGCCAAGCCTAACAACCTGAGTTCAATCCCCAGACCTACATGGCGGAAGGAGAGAAGCAACTCCTACAAGTTGTCCTCTGGGCACCACGAATGTGCATGGGCACATACACATAGAAAGGAAGAAAAAGGGGAGAAAGAGGAGGGGGAGGAGGGAGGAGGAGGAAGGAAGGTAGGAGAAAGGAGGGGAGATATTTTAAATTTCATAAAAACAGTGAGTCTGAAGACTCACAAATGGAGGATGAAAATGGACTGGAGAGTGAAGAAAGCCCAAAGAAGCGTAAGACAGGCATGAAAGGTGCAGATACTCTGGCTCCTGGGAGCTCAGGAAGGACGTGTGGATACCACAGGGGTTAGAAAGTACATTAGAAGAAATAATAACACAAAACTTCTCGATCCTAGAAGACACAAATACTCAACATAAGAAAGTCAAAAGTCAGGCCAGGAAGGGTGGTGCACACCTTTAATCCCACCACCTAGAGGCAGAGGCAGGTGGAGGCCTGTGAGTTATTTCCAAGCCAGCCAGGCCATCATGATTCAAAAGGAGGAAATAGTTCAAAATACAGTATGTTTACTCAGCATTAGAGCACGCAAATATAGACAGCAAATATTACCAGAGTCAAGAGAAGCACTCAACTCCAATATCATAATAGCTGGGGACTTAACACCTCTCTTCAGCAGTGAAGAGATTATCCAGAAAGAAAAGTCAACAAAGTAATGCCAGAGTTGAATTAGACCCAAGAACAAATCAACCTAACAGGTATCTATACAAAATGACTTCCAATATCTTCTGTTGACATTTTTCTCATCAGCGTATGGAACAATTCTCAGGACAGATCATATGACAAGCCACAAGGTAAGTCTCACAAATTTTTTATAAAGTAAAATTATGCTTTATCCTTTGAACACATGCAATTAAGAGTCCAGTAAGGAGAAAAACCTTTGGAAACTATACCAATGCATGGAAATTTAACAACTTAATTTTGAACAACCAATGAAGCAAGAAATAAATCAATAAAGAAATGTAAATTTTCTTGAAACAAATGAAAACGGAGATACAGGATACCAAAACATAGAAATGAAAAACAAGGAATCTAGGAACAAACCCAATCAAAGTGCTCTGCCTTGGTTTCTGTTACTGTGATAAACACAATTACAAAATAAAAAACTTTTGTAGGAGAGGATTGGTTTAGCTTACCAGTTACAGATCATCATGAGGAAAAGCCAAGGCAGAAACTCAAAAGAGGAGTTTAAAGCAAAATGGAGGAACAGAACACTGCTGAATACCTACCAGCATGTTCTCAGTTCCACTACCTTTCTTACACAGCCCAGGCCCGCCTGCCTAGAGATGATACTACCCACAGTGGTCTGGGCCCACATCAATTAGCATTAAAGAAAATGTCCCACAGACATGGCCCCTGATGGAGGTAAGTCTTCCACTGAGGTTACTTTCCCTGAGTATGTCAATTTGACAGCCAACATTAGCTATCACACAAAGATAAGAAAGGTTTCCATAATGAAAATTAGAAAACACTAATCAGAATATGGAAGAGAACAGAAAAACTTAAAAGATAGCCAGCACTCATGGATTGAAAGAATTAGCATTGTACAATTGTTCCTATAACCCATTGAGATGTACAGATTCAATATGATCGCTATAAAAAAAACTAGTGACATTTTTCACATATCAAAATTCAGGCAGCAATTATTTGATGTGGGATGTCCTTCTATACACTGTGAATATGTATTTCTCCCATTGGTTAATGAAGAACCTGCTTTAGCCTATGGCAGGATAGAATATAGCAAGGGGAAATCCAAGTAGAGATAGAAAAAGAAAGCAGGCTCAACAGAAATGCTAGCAAGCTGACCATAGACAGGATGCCAGAACACCTAAGATAATGCCACAACCATGTAGCAATATACATACTATTGGAAATGGGTTAATTTATAAGAGAGAGATCTAGGCACTAATAGCCCAAACCATCAGCCAAACAATTACATTTAATATTAGCCTTTCATAAGTGGCTGTGGGGACCAATGGGTGGGACAGAAACTGGTCCAGAGGACCAGATAGGACAGAGCATACTTTCAGATGCAATTCTCAAATTATACAAAATTGCAAAATTTAAAAGGCAGCCAAAGGTACTTCTAGAAACAATAAACTAGGGGTGGGAGTGAGGAAGTAGAGGTATTATACTATCTAACTTCAAAACATACTGCAAAGCTATAGTGATCAAAGCAGTGTGGTGTCAAACACAGCTGCATAGACCAATATTATAAACTAAAAAGGCAATCTTGAAATTAAGAAAACATGTGAATCTATAGCCAGCTAATCTGAAACAAAATTGCTAATAATACACACCAAAGAAAGGGCGATCTTTTCAATAAATGGTGGTAAATTGAGTGCCCACATGCAGAAGGAAACTAGACCCCTATTTCTTTGGGAGGAGTGTGCGTATGTGTGCTGATTAGTCTCCATGCAATATATTTTGACCATATTCATGATCATTTTGATAATGAACTTCTCCCAGATTCTTCCCACCATTCTATCCACCCAACTTTATTGGATCCCCCACCCCCCGCCAATGAAAGAAAAAAGAAAAAACCTACAAAAACAATAAAAAGTGCTAAAAACAAAAGCTCCATCCCCTCAAAAACAAACAAAGGACACAGAACTTGTTTTGTATTGGTCAACTAATCTTAGGCATGGAGTGTACCCTGGAGTATGGCTAATATACCCAGCGACTCTCAACTGAAGGAAACTGCCTTTGCCTTTGCCAGCAGGTATCAACTGGAAAAAAAAACCTTCATGATTAGGTATAGGACCCTGTGACTGTTTGCCCCTCTAAGCCCTGGGACCCTGTCGGGATTGAACCTGTGCCAGTTTGATGTGTGCTGCCACCATCCCTTGAGAGTTCATATGTACGTCAGGCTTTGTGTCAGAAGACACTGCTTCCTTGGAGCCATCCATTCCCGCTGGCTTTTACAATCTTTCCACCCCCTCTTCTGCATAGGTCATTGAGAAGTAAGGGGAGGAGCTTGATGAAGACATCCATTCAGGATCGGGAGTTCCAAAGTCTCTCAATCTCTCATTTGAGGATTTCTGTGTTAATTCCCATATACTACAAAGAGTTCTGATGAGAGGTGAGCAAGGCAATGATCTACAGGTATGAAAATATGTCATTAGGAGTCATTTTATTGCTGTGTTGCTTTAGCAGAATAATAGCCATAGTTTCCCCCCCCCCAGGCCCATGCTCTATCTAATCTTAGGTTCTTGGCCATTCAGCAGTTTCGGATATGAGTCTTATCTTACTGAGTGGACACTTAATCCAAGCAAAAAGTGGTTGGTTACTCCCATAACATGTGGGCCACTATCGCACCAGTGTGCCTTGAGGCAGGTCTCTATTGTGGGT